TTATTATTATAATGAAATAATTTTGACATGCGAATTCATAATTAGCTATTAGTTACGCTTGTACGTAAGTACATACACAGTTTTTTGCCTTCCTCAATCCAAAGAAAAAATATGAGATGGAGGAATATTAATTTGGATTCATTGTTACGGGTGTAAAAAATAAGAACATTTTACGATGGCGGTGTTTAAAATTACCGCGTAAGAGAATCCGCTATCCCACATCATTCCGTGGACAAATCAAAATGATAACTACGCTTGCCAACCCTAACAAGCGTGAGAGGCTTTAGCCGTGAAATTTTGACAGGTTGTAATAAATAAAAAAATATGAATGTATCGGCACATTTTCTATATCTACATTGAGGATTTCCTAATATATACGTTGACAATTCCTAATGACATGAATATTGTACTGCTGGAAATGTTAAGCGCAAAATCTAAAACTCGTCCTTACCCAGACTCCATCCAACGATTTGACAATAATTATCTACAGTAGTTTTAATAATATTTTTATAAAGCTAAAACGTACGTACATACGTAAGCGATTCGTGGCATGAAACATGAGTTTAATCCCTACCGGTGCCAAGTTTAAATTTTTTTTTTTACAAAATTGGCCCCACACTAGGATGTTGTCTGGTATCGTAGAGGCAGTTTCATATATTTTACAGGGACAAACATGGAGATCCGGAGCAATTATTTGTAGGCTATTCAAATACTTGTTCCGTACGGGATTCAAACCTTGCCCTCAGCATGGCAGCTCATTGCTAAGCCACTGCGCCACGGAGCTGTCAATGTGATTCAAATGCTTATTTGCTTACAAGCTTGTCTCAGATATAACAACTAATTCGAACCTATCAGTTCACTCTGGAGCATCACGGCATACATTTTCTGGATCAAATATCCTCTTAGAAATGAAAGGAGGCCTGATGTGCAGAATAGAGCTTTGTAATTAAAATGGTGTGACAAATATCAAATCGTGGACAATAAATTATACAAATAAAATAACAAACACATAGTAACTTTTATATTATTTAATCTTTCAGGTCTGGATGACACTGTGAAACTAGTCAAGGGTATAGGAGGAAAATGTCACGGGTACGTTGTGGACTTGGCGAGTCGAGAAGATGTATACAGGGTCGCAAAAACGGTGCACGAGGAAGTCGGGACGGTGAGTCATGTCTCTTCGAGTGATTTACAAATCAAGTTTTGTAAATACCCATAATGGTTTCAAACAATTAAAAGTGACATTTCCATACCGCATATAATTTTTTGTGCATTATTTTAGAACTTTAGGTTTTGAATAAACTTCTTTCCGTATGAACATAAAACAATATAATAATTCCGAAAAACATAAATTACTACAAATATTGCGTTTAAAATTATTTAAAAGATAAAAATTTGCATTAAATTATTTGAAAGATACAATATAAACTATGCATTTTCTGTATTAAAATGAATTTGTTTCCGTAAAAAGTAAGACACTTCTCTAAAATACCTTTTGTACGACTCATTTCACGCTTGGTTTATTTTAGCGTTATTAGGAGTATTTTTTGTCCTTTCATTTGTAATTTCTCAGAAAACTTAATAATGGTTGTCATTTTAAAATATTCGCATACTATTTTTTGTTTATATAAATAAGCATAGATACTAAATGACCTTTAAACCGGTTCTTTTTCATTAATCCGTAAAAAATTATATTCCGTGGTAAAAATGGCAGGAGTCTCTCTCGTTGTTGGATTTGCCTAAATCGTGCTGACGCAGTATATTATAGTCGCAAATAAATGGTATAGAAACGTATACGGGACAAACAAAAAAATCATTAATTTTATATGATATGTGACAAAATATTAAATAATTGTGCTAAGCGAAAAAAATAGTTAAATAATTTGTAACTCTATTATCTATTTGGTTCTCCCAAATTTACAAAAAGACACCTTTTTATTTTGACAGTTATATTTTATAGATAACACACATATACGGGACAAACAAAAAAATCATTAATTTTATATGATATGTGACAAAATATTGAATAATTGTGCTAAGCGAAAAAAAGTGTTAAATAATTTGTAACTCTATTATCTATTTGGTTCTCCGAAATTTACAAGAAGACACCTTTTTATTTTGACAGTTATATTTTATAGATAACACACATATAACACACGAGCATGCCGTGATAACTCAGGGCTAAGCGCTCTCTATAAATTTCACAGCACGCGAGCAACCCGGGTTAGATCTCCGTCAGCACCAATGAAATAGTTAAATGCAATTTTAAGTGCTGATTTACCACGCGCTCGGCGGTAAAGGAAAACATCGTTAGGAAAACTGAATGTCTGAGAAATAAGAAAAAAAATTAATTTAGGCAGCGCGGCGGATATTTCCTTGCCCTAAAACCCTCTCAGAAATGAAAGGAGGTCTCATGCCCAGGGGCATATATAGGCTAAAACTTTGACTTTAACACGAGCATAATAAGTTACTGCTCTTAATACGTTACTGCTTGACTTTGGATTTATACTGAAAAAGTAATAAGTATACATTTAGATGTATGAAAAGTATTATTTTAGATTTAATTTAAAGGATACGTATATGCTATAATGTATTTTTTTAACATTTCCCCAAAATAAAGAGTAAGTACGAATAATAAATAAGTACGAAGAATAAATTATTTGATTATTTTTATGGTATGCGTAGAGTGTGGAAACAGTAAATAATATTACTAATTTTTAACTTATAGGTAAGGTAATAGGCCTTTCTATCTAGGAGCCGTATGTGTAGTTACCACCCTTTTACCTATCTCTGCCAATTAGTAGTGTGCACTGCTGCGTTCCGTTCTGTAGGGTGCAGAGAGTCAATATAGTTACAGGCTGTGTGTCATTCCATCTTAGACCTTAATGGTGATAACGGATCTGTTTCTTTCTTTATTTGAAGTTAGTTGCAGGTGTCCATGTAATGCAGCACCTATCAGATCGGCTGTAAGTTCGCAGGTTTAAAAAAAGTAGTATGTAATTAATGCTTGGAGATGTTTCACAAGACCGAGAGATTGAAGTAGTTGTCCTTAAATTTCGGCCGTGTACTTTCCAAAGTAACCTCATTACATTGTTTTTTTACATCTAGATAGTTAAATTTATCGTGCATGTTATCTGGATACAACTATCTTTCGGAATTATCAAATGTTTTTCATAAATGTTCAATATATTAGAGTCGCAATAATAAAAAATAAAAAAATTTGTACAACCGACTTCAATATAAATTATTAAGAACAACTCAAAAACTATTAGTCAGACCTTGATCAAATTTATATGGGACTACATGTGAAGCATCAGCTTTCAAATAAAAAAAAGGATCATCGAAATCGGTTCACCCAGAATAAAGTTATGAGGTATTACACATAAAAAACATACAATCGAATTGAGTATTGTCTCATTTTTGAAGTCGGTAGAAAACTGGCAAGGAAGCATCGTAACATTAATTGATTGGTTTCCTATCGCACAATTGTTCATAAAAGAAAAGTTAAACATACGGTTTTGAAATGAAATCAACTACTAGTAACACGCAACGGATGTAGTATGTACACATTTGTAAATTTATAATATAATTTATTTATAATATATTTATTTGCCGTGTAGTGGCGGTTAAGAATATACACTACCCCATATCCTCCAGTGGGTGTCGTAAAAGGCGACAGTGGGAAACAGGCAGGAGATTGGCAGCAGCATCTTCCTGATAACAGCAATATCCCAATAAAAAAAATTGCGGTTGCCAACCCGCTCGACAAGCGTGGCAACTATGGCAATATACCCCCAATGAAAAAAGTAACGAAAAGACGGCCCCCAGTCCCCAGCAGCCCCGCTATTCCTGGCTACGGTGGCGACCATGGTAACGACGGGTCAGGGGGTGCTAAGATTCTCCGGTGGAGGTTCGGTTGCCACCTACGACGACTCGACCTGGCAACTTATAACGCACGCAAACTGAAAACTGACGAGAAGATCCTGGAGCTGGAAGAAGAGATAGACAAGTTGCGCTGGAATATTATAGGATTATCCGAGGTCCGAAGAGAGGGGGCGGACACGGTAATCCTCGTATCCGGCAACTTGTTCTATCACCGGGAGGGCGACCATCTGTACGATTTATCGTCCACAAGTCTCTCGTTAATAACGTTGTAAAGATTGGGAGTGTGTCGACGTGGGTTGCGTACCTCATACTCAGAATCACCAAACGGTATTCACTGAAGGTTTACGCACCAACCTCGGCACACCCTGATGAGGAGGTGGAGGAAATGTATGAGATTATCTCTAGAGCCATGCATTCCTCCAAAACCCACTATACGGTGTTAATGGGAGACTTAAATGCAAAACTAGACACAAGAGAGAACGGTAAGCTGAAAGTAGGGAAATTCGGAATAGGGCAACGGAACCCAAGGGGCAAAGGAAAGAGGGACTCTTTATGATGAACTCTTTCTTCCAGAAGCGGCCCCACAGGAAGTGGATCTGGCCCCGACGGTGCGACAAAATATGAGATTGACTTCATTATGACACGACCAGACCACAACTGTTCAGTGATGTCTCAGTGATCGCGAAGATAAAAACTGGTAGCGATCACTGAATGGTTAGAGGCACAATGAACCTAAACGTTGAGTTGGTGAGGTCTCGTCTAATGAAGTCAACGCTCCGTCCCTCTTCGTGCTCTAGTCCAAAGTCCTGAAACCTTTCAGCTCGATTTACAAAACCGTTTTCAGTGCCTGGAAGATTGCAATGAAGTGGACGATATAAATGATAAGCTCGTGGAAACTGTCCATGCGGTCGGAGCTAAGTTTTACAAGACGCGCCGCAGAAGAACACAAAAACTCTCCGATCACACTCTAAATCTCATGGCTGTTAGACGGGAAATGAAGATGCAGTCTTCAACAGATTTGACAGCATACAGGCAACTGAACAAACAGATCTCCAAATGCATGCGGCGGGACTTACGCAACTTCAATTCAGCTTGTATTGAAGAAGTGACCGAGTGGAACCAAGGCTCCAAAGTGTTTGCCAGAGACCTGTCTGCCAGAAAGAGCCAACTGTCAAAGCTGAAGACCGAGTGTAGCAGCATCATTTCCGGGACACCTGAGATTTTGAGTGAGATAGAGAGGTTTTATGGGCAGCTGTACACGTAATCGTTGGAGCTATACGCAAGTGTGAGTAACGGTCCAAGAGCGAGTTTTATCCAACACTATACCGATGATATCCCGGACGTTAGTCTGAGCGAGATTAGAATGGCTCTCCAGCACCTTAAAAACGGCAAGTCCCCTGGCGAGGATGGAATCACAGCGGAGCTTCTGAAAGCGGATGGAAAACCGGTACTTGAAGTCATTCAGAAGCTCTTTAATTCCGTCCTCCATGGTGGTACTACTCCGGAGCCGTGGAGCAGAAGTGTGGTGGTCTTGTTTTTCAAGAAAGGCGGTAACGCTCTCTTGAAGAACTACAGACCGATTTCCTTTCTGAGCCGCGTCTACGTGCTGTTTTCGAGAGTCATTACGAATCGTCTCGCACACAGACTTGACAACTTCCAGCCTCCCGAACAAGCCGATTTCCGAAAAGGCTTTAGTACCATAGACCACAAAAACACCCTTCAGCAAATTGTACAGAAGACAAAAGAGTACAATCTGCCACTTTGCCTTACGTATGTGGACTATGAGAAAGCCTTTGATTCCGTCAAAATTTGGGCGGTGCTACAGTCCCTTCAGCGGTGCCAAGTTGACTATCGGTATATCGAAATTCTGAAGTGTTTGTACAGTAGAGCTACGATGGCTATCCGAGTACAGAACCAGAGTACGAAACCTATCCAACTGCATAGAGGTGTAAGACAGGGCGACGTTGTAGTCCTTATGGCAGAATCGCTGGAGGACCTAAGCACTATGCTCAATGACCTCAATAGTGTCTCCCAACGGATAGGTCTTAAGATGAACATGGACAAAACAAAGATCATGTTTAATGTCCATGTCACACCTATGCCGGTAGTTGTTGGGAGTACTAAGCTCGAACTTGTTGACGAGTATGTTTACCTGGGACAAATAGTCACACATCTTTTCGTCAGGTATACCTCGAAACTTGAAAACGAGACTGTACAACCAGTGCGTGTTGCCAGTGATGACCTATGGAACTGAGACTTGGTCCTTCACTGCTGGCCGGATGAGGAAGCACAATCTTGCTCAGCGAGCTATGGAGAGGGCTATGCTCGGAGTTTATCTGCGTGATAAACTTAAAAATGAGGATATCCGCAGTAGAACCAGAGTGACCGACATAGCCCAACGTATTAGTACGCTGAAGTCGCCATATAGCTCGAAGAACCGACAACCGATGGGGAAAAAAGTTTCTCGAGTGTTTGTCTGTCTGCCTGTCTGTCCGTCTGTCTGTCTGTTTGTCCCGGCTAATCTCCGAAACGGCTGGACCGATTTTGACCGGAACTTTACTGGCAGATAGCTGATGTCACAAGGAGTAACTTAGGTTACTTTTATTTTAGAAAAATAATTAGGGTTCCGCGCAAGAAAATTAAAACTCCAAATAACACGCGGGCGAAGTCGATACAGAGATAGAACAGCTAGTAGATAATATATCTTAATATCCCGAATCATATATAAAGTTCCGGTTAATGGTAAAAATCAATCCAAAACTCTGAATCCCATTTATACAAACGTAATGTGGAGCGGAATTTGCCATTACGATGAGATCAACTCTGCCATCAGCAAATCGCTTGTGTGGCGAGAATGGACAAATATTAACGACAATGTAAGCCAATTGGTGATTGATAGCGTAGTGGCTAAGCATTCGGCTGAGACGCTGCGAGACCTCAGGTTCCATTCCGGACGGAACAAATGTTGTATGGTATACAAATAAAAACAAAGTCTAGGTGTTTGTCTATGTGTAATTCATATAAATGTAAAACGCCTCTACGATACAGGTGAAAATCGTAGTGAGTAGGTATTTTTAATAAAAAATAATGAACAAGCCCATTGTACATATTATGCATGTGTGCAAAGAGCAGCAAATAATTTTCGTACTATATTAATTTTAGATTCAGGTACATACGAGTACAAAATCATTTCCTCGAAGTTCCTAAAAGAAATCCATCCGCGGCTGGTCGTTGCTGCTGGTGATAAGAGGGCTGGTTCTTTTCTTGCTCAAAGACTAAGTATAGCCATTCAGCGGGGAAACGCAGCCAGCGTTCTTGGCATGATACCGCGGGGAGTAAGACTATGTATATGATAATTAAGTTTCTAGTTTTAGTTTTTTTTTTATATTATAGTTTTTATAGTAGTTTCTTATTTTCTATATTACACAAAAATAATTCAGTGATATACTTTCATATTATAATAATAATCTTTCATGATAATTCTACCTTGTAATCAAGTCAAATCAAATATTGAGATCTGTGACTTTGACGGGGACTTCGAAATATAGCTTGATGAACTGTCGACCGATGAAGAAGAAATATTCTAGAATGGCAAGCTCGTACTGTCAAGGAGGGTCAAAAATTAGGGATTTAATATATAATTGTAAATTAAAACTATATGCTAAAAATATACTCAACATAAATTAATAAATTATAGAAATCAACACGTTTATTTCAGGTAAGCCTGCTGATCAACAACGCGGGTGTCGTGTCAGGACAGTACCTACTAGATACGCCCGACCACCTAATAAAGAGGACTTTTGACGTCAACGTGTTAGCTCATTTCTGGGTGCGTTACAAAGATTTTTATTGGAACGAAGTTCCTTATCGCGGGCGGATGGAGGCCAAGCGCAAAAAAGTGCAAGATTTTTCCGTCATGACCCCCTTTCTATAGTGCGAGCGAGGTTGAATAATATCCATTTTCCTCACACTTTTTCTTATCTTGCCACGAAAGAAATATTATTTTAAATAACGCTTCATTTTAATAGACGCTAGTAATTCATTTATTTGTATTTGTTAATCAGTAATTTTACTACGTGGTAGAGCCATGCTGCAGCTATATTAGTAGTATAGTTGTAGCACGAATTGGTCGGCTCGACCGGGGAAGGACCACGGTCTCACGGAACATCAACGTCAAATAGCAGCTCTACACTCACCATACGAAACACTTCTGTGTTTCGTATGGTGAGTGTAGAAAACCGGAGACCCTTTTCACTGGAAAAGAGGCATTCCATCTTCGTCCTCATTGGTGGCAACGCATCTGCATTTTGATTCTTTATTGAGGATAGATGTAGATGTCTATCGGCCACAGCAACCACTTACCATCAAGTGGACTGTGTGCTCATTTATCACCTTATCCTATAAAAAAAGTAATATAATACGTTTATAAATAATAATATACTACGAAAGGTACTTTGTTTCAACCGGGTGTTCCACGACACTCATACATGTTTTTTAATAGAAATGCTTACTCCAACTAAGCTTGAAATACTTGGGAGTGGTTCGTAGCAGTAGTTGAATGGCGAATTACAATTCACAAGTAGCACTTTTATATAGTCGTTCGAAACAATAACTAGTCCAAACGTCTTTCCATCATGCTCGTCAGAGCGTAACAACCCATTGCTATTAATGGTCATCTTTCTAACCGGAAAGCAGTAATGGCCACTCTTAGCGGGCGTATTTATTAAGTGGCGAAGCTTGCGAAGTCACTTATTGATTTCACGATGTCAGTTCGTCTGTCCGTCTGTCCGTCTGTCCCACGATTATCTCGAGAACGGTTTCGAATTTTCAAATTCTGTTTTCAGCAATCGATTACTGATCACCCAGGCATCTGAACCTCCTATTTTGAAACTGATTGCTCAACGGCAACCGTTAGAAACCGCTACAAAGCTGATTGCTTCGCCACTTTGCTGTTAGCTTGCTAGGTTTATTATTATCAGTATTTTGTGCATTATATGTATATCAGAGGCAGCACCGTTACTGGTTTTGTCATGTTTACCAAGGAGTTAATGTAGTCTAGGGTTCATAAGGGTCATAAAGCTGCAGCATACACACACATATATATCAGCCAGCTTAATGCATCTGTTTTTCGTATGATTGTTAACGATAATGGGCATTGCAGTCCTCAGGGGTAACAGCGCAATTTAAATACATGTACATAGGTGTCTATGGGCACCCACTTACCGAATTAATTGTTTTCTTATTTTGTTACCTTTCTTATAGAATAAGGGTGACAAATGGGTGCACAGTCTATCTGATAGTAAGTGGATGCTGTGACCCATAGACATCTACATCTATCCTCAATTACGTATTAAAATTGTCACCCCTGAGGATTAAGACGGAATGCCTCATTTACAGTAAAAGTGTCTCCGATTCTCTATACTCATCATACGAAACACAACAGTTTTCTTATATTTACGCGAACACTACACATTGAATAAAACTACTTTTACGGATTTTATCGCTTTTAATTAACTTATTCCCCCGTGACCATGGTTGCTGGAAAGCAACCGAAACGTCGGGAATATAAAATAAGTTAATTAAACGCGATAAAATCCGTAAAAGTAGTTTTATTCAATGAAACACAACAGTATTAAGCTGCTATTTTACGCTGGTATTCTGTGAGAGCGTGGTGCTTCCCCGCTCGGGCCGATTCCCATTCTTGCTATAGCTCTAACACGTAAACGTTACGTTTTATGAATAAGATAGGAGATATTTGAGATCGACTAAGTTTTTATTGTTTTTTTTTTCCAGATGCAATTATCAAAGATCTCATGATATGGTTTTTAATTTTCAGACCGTAAAAGCTTTCTTGCCAGCAATGATAGAGCAAAATAATGGTCATATTGTCACCATAGCTTCGATGGCTGGTCACGTTGGCGTGGCCAAGCTGGTGGATTACTGCGCGTCGAAGGCTGCTGCTTGTGGCTTCGACGAAGCGTTGAGAATTGAACTTGAAGTACGCGGTATTAAGGGAATTCATACTTCGGTCATATGCCCCTACTTTATCCGTTCGACAGGCATGTTTGAAGAAGTTAATTCAAGGTTAGTACCCGAACTGTTTGTATCGCGTTTTTATTAGTTCGCTCTTGTTTTTGTCAGTTTGGGTCGAATTGAAATTGATTTTAAACTAACTTCCCGAGGAGCGAGCGACTTGATTGATTGATTTTGAACATAGCTCCGAATCTAATGACAATGTAAGAATTTGAAGAAAAACGTGGTAAAAAATCAAAAATATTTTTTGATCCTATGTTTCACCACCTCCAAATAATCAACCTTTACAAGTCAACAGCTGCCTTCCGCTTTAAAAATGAGCCTACCAGCATGTATTTCTTGAGATACTTGTAATAATACTCACGCTGAACAGGCGGGCATGTATAAGTATTTATTTTATGTATTAGTATTTTCTTTCGCATCTACCATGGGGAGTGCTCTGAGGAATTGTTCGGATTAATCCCAGCCGCCAAATTTCATGAACGCACATCGCGGCAGAACTCCCGGTACCATCCACATCATCTGGATGATTGGCGGTCCACCACTGTGGGATTTAGAAGATGTTTTCTTCCTCGCACGACTTCCTTGTGGAATCGATTACCATCAGCGATTTTTTCCGGACCGATACGACTTAGGGACCTTCAAGAAAAGAGCCTACTCCTTTTTAAAAGACCGGCAACGCATTTGCAATTCCCCTGGTGTTGCGGTTGTTCATGGGCGGCGGTAGTCACTTACCATCAGGTGAGCCGCATGCTCGTTTGCCCCCTCTCCTATAAAAAAAAAGTATTGGCTAGCTTGACTACCGATATTAAACACTGGCAACACTGTTCCTCATCATTGACCAGGTTTGTAAAATTTTGCCATGTTTTGTCTAATAAGATAAAAATAAAACATATTAATTCTAACGAAATCTGAGTTTCTAAGCTTGCAAAGGAATAAAATAAAAGAAGTAACTTTATATGTGTAACGCATAATTATTATCAGTATTATTACTTGGTACCTAATTTAAAATATAAAACAAGTTGTAAATAACTAAAGATTTAAAATAAATAAAATCTTCACATAGCACTTAAGTCTCATTAAGCTCATTGGCTTCTGGTGATAACGTAATTACAAATAAAATTTTTAATATAAATTTAAAAATAAAATTTTAATTTTATTTTTTTCAATTAATAGATTATTTCTTTATAGAATAAGGGCGACAAACTAATGGTAAGTGGATGCTGTAGCCCATAGATATCTACATCTGTCCTTGATTAATTGATTAAGAATCAAAATGCAGATGTGTTATCACCCCTAAGGACTAAGATGGAATGCCTCGTTACCAGTATAAAGTATCTGCGGTTCTCTACACTCACGAAACACAGCAGCATTGAGTTTCTACTTTACGCTACAGCCACAATACAGCTGCAGCGTGGTAAACTGTAAACGTAATTAACTGATAATTAAAATAAATCTGATGTGTGAGACAATGAGTACCAACTCAGTAACATCAACATCAACAGGTTCGTGCCGCAACTGAACTCGAACGAGGTAGCCGATCGTGTCGTGTACGCGATCCGCACCAACGAGCACCTCGCCGTTATGCCGGGCTACTTCCGACTGCTGCTGCCTTTCAAATGGTAATATATGTATATATCTTTTGTCATAAATAATATAACATAACTGTATCCAGACCTTGACAATATAATAACACCATTATACCAAAATAGCAAGATGAACGAAGACATGTGTCAATCGTGAATGATTCGTTATTTTGATCCGGGTCGCATCAAAGTATTGATGATTGAAATTACATTTTTTAACGTTCCGGATCAAACGATTGATAGGACCTTCGACCAAAGAGTAGAGTAATGTTCGAGGACCGACATTATCGAGCGGGTCTCGGTCCTTATGAAAGGTAAATTGTCTTGTAACCAAAAATGCGTTATTTACAGTTTACTATTTACATTTATATTAAAGTTAATATACCTTTGAAAAAATAATGTTGAATTGCATGGTCTATTATTACATTAATATACGGCGTAATGTTTATTTGCGTTATTCGATTAAATTCATTGAATATTGACGCATTGAATATTGATTGGCACCATAAAATTGATGGTGATGTTTTTTTACGTTCGAATAGACTTCAAAATTTCATAAGTGTAGTTCTATTCGCTATGAACGTGAGAAGAACTACATTCATGAACGGGAGTAGATATATACAGGAGATGGGAAGCAGCACCTTACTGATAACACTAACAGCTCAGGACATTTGGATGATCGACCCGAATGACCTATCAAAATAGTGTCCATTTACATCAATACATCGCTGCATCCGATGGAACCACTGAGAAAAGCACTTTGGCCACTCGTCCTTAGTGGTCTCTTCGACGGCATTTTAAAACGTAGCCACTGCTTCGTCGGTGTCCACAAAACGTTTTCCACGAAATTTTTCTTTTATTTTCGGAAATAAATAAAAATGGCAAGCTGCGAGGTCGGGGCTGTAGGGCGGGTGACCCAGTAATTCCACGTCTGACGTCGCCAAATAGTCGATTGTTTGCTTGGCGGTGTGCGACGAGGCGTTGTGGTGGTGAAGGAGGATCCTACTGCGAGGTTTTTTCAACCGAACTTTTTCCAAGACAAGTGGCAAACAATTGTTAGTGTACCACTTTGCGGTAACTATTTTTCGATCCTCTAAAACAGTTGTTGCGTAATGACCTGTCCTTTCGAAGAACGTGGCCACCATCTTTTTTCCCACGCTTCGACCTCTCTTCACTTTAGTTGTCAACTCCTCGGAAGGAAACACCCAGACGGCAAACTGTCTCTTAGTTTCATGATCATAACAATAAATCTAGCTTTTGTCACCCGTAAGTACGTCGGACACAGCATTTGAGTCACCTCCGTTAAATCTTTGAACTATTTCACGACACCAATTATCATGACGGAGTTTTTGGGCCTCTGTCAAATTATGAGGTATCCACCGGGCACAAAGCTTCCTGACCGCCAAATGTTCATGGAGGATTTTGTGCACTTGACTCATACCGATACCTAAGCTTGTCTGAATCTGCTGATACGTCATCCTTTTGTTAGTCTCTATCATACGCCGCACAACACTGATGTTATCTTCAGTGATCGCCGTAAAACGCCAGCCATCACGCAGATCATTGGTGAGATTAGTGCGACCATGTTTAAACTAATTAAATCAGTTGTAAATAGTGGTAGGAAATGGGGCTTCATGGTGAAAGGCCAATCGAAGTCTATCATAACTTTATTGTTGACTTAAATGACATCGAAAGTCATAAAAATCATTGTACGAAAATTTTCTCGCGTTAAATTCATGCTGACGTGACACAGACAATTTTCAATTTGCCGCCAAATCGTAAAAATATGACCAATTAAGAAAATACATACACAATAATATTAGCAAAGACTTCCATTTTCAAAGTTAGAACTTATTTTTTATTATCTGGGGGCACGGCAGTGCCCCCGCCAAGTCGAGCAAAAAAGCGGCACGGCCGTACCATCCTTTTCTCGAAGCAGTTCAGGCCATTTTTTAAACACTATTACTTCGTTGTCGATAAAGATGAATTTATAGTAACCAAGTAGGCATTGTATAAGCTCGGTATATTTCAAATTTCATCAAATTTGAACCAGTAGTTTAAGAATTAGAACTAGTCAAAGTTTCTTAATTTTGTCACACACACATATTATAGTGACTATATGAATATTAAATTTTTTTTTAGTTTTAAATAAATAAATTGACTTGGCAATCGCACTAAACAATCTAATTTAATATAATATGTATTACTTGAGAGATGATACATTGCGTTTTCATGCGATGGCCAATTCAATCTATTTATTTAAAACATATAAGATTTTTAATATTAATATGGTCACTATTAGATGTTGTTAGGTTAGTTAATTACGTAATAACTTAAGAGGGAAGGACCCTTAAGTAGGGACTGAATAAATTAACCGACTTGGTATTACATGGATCTCACAACTTTTCACGGTAGAAGAACTGAGTTGCGAGACTTGGTTTTTTTACAAGTTATGTTGTTGATGGCATATCGTTTACAAGTGGCCAGTTCTAAAAACTTTCAGTGTCGCCCTCGTATCTAAAATCCATCGCCTATGAATCACAAACCCCTTACAGAACAAAAAAAGTAAAGTAAAGTAAAGTTGCAGCCTATTTACGTCCCACTGCTGGGCACAGGCCTCCTCTCATTTCTGAGAGGGTTTTAGGGCAAGGAAATGTCCGCCGCGATGCCCCAATGCGTGTTGGCGAACTTCACATGTCTTCGAAATATTTTTTTCTTATTTCTCAGACATGCAGGTTTCCTCACGATGTTTTCCTTCACCGCCGAGCACGTGGTAAATCAGCACTTAAAATTGCAATTAACAATTTCATTGGTGCCGGGTTGCTCGAGTAGTGTGAAGTTTACAGCGAGCGCTAACCATCTGAGCTACCACGGCTCTACTACAGAACAAAACCGTCTCTAAATTAATCAATCCGTTTTGGAGATAAGTGGGAACATTAATTTGCATATATGTGTTAATTGCAGCGCCCCTGGCGGGTTAACACTGTAACACCTATCTAAAAACTATCACCGATGAATTACAAACGATTTGCAGAAAACCGTATCTAAATCAGTCAAACTGTTTTGGAGATAAATGGGAACATTAATTTGCACAAATATGTTAATTGCGACGCCCCCTGGCTAGGTAACACCATAACACCTATCTAAAAACCGTCGCCGATGAGTCACAAATCCTCTAAAGGAAACTGCATCTAAATCCGTTAAACCGTTTTGGAGATAAATGGGAACATTAATTTGCACAAATATGTTAATTGCGGCGCCCCCTGGCTAGGTAACACCATAACACCTATCTAAAAACCGTTGCCGATGAGTCACAAACCCTCTATATAGACAGATAAGATACTATATATATATATATATACATATATATATATATATATATATATATATATATATATATATATATCTTCTGTCATAAATAATATAACATAACTGTATTCAGACCTTGACAATATAATAACACCATTATACCAAAAGTGTCAATCGTGAATGATTCGTTATTTTGATCCGGGTCGCATCAAAGTATTGATGATTGAAATTACATTTTTTAACGTTCCGGATTAAACGATTGATAGGACCTACGACCAAAGAGTAATGTTCCAGGACCGACATTATCGAGCGGGTCTCGGTCCTTATGAAAGGTAAATTATCTTGTAACCAAAAATGCGTTATTTACAGTACTATTTACATTTATATTAAAGTTAATATACCTTTGAAAAAATAATGTTGAATTGCATGGTCTATTATTACATTAATATACGGCGTAATGTTTGCTTGCGATATTCGATTAAATTCATTGAGTATTGACGCATTGAATATTGATTGGCACCATAAAATTGATGGTGATGTTTTTTTACGTTCGAGTAGACTTCAAAATTTCATAAGTGTAGTTCTATTCGCTATGAACGTGAGAAGAACTACATTCATGAACGGGAGTAGATATATACAGGAGATGGGAAGCAGCGCCTTACTGATAACACTAACAGCTCAGGACATTTAAATAATCGACCCGAATGACCCGGTTCGTAACACGAATCAATACTTGAATGATCGAGTCACAAGAAATGAATAAATGGCACATATCTGTGAAAGTAATAAGGGATTAGAATAAATATCTTTATTGGCAACATTTGACAGTCTACAGCTGGCCTTTTTACCCGCGACGGAACGGAGAATGTGTATGCATTTAAGGTGAGAGATTGTTTGTTTGTTTGTCTGTGCGTGCAAACGAATGTTCCCATTTATCTCCAAAGCGGTTTAACGGATTTAGATGCAGTTTCCTTTAGAGGGTTTGTGACTCATCGGCGACGGTTTTTAGATAGGTGTTATGGTGTTACCTAGCCAGGGGGCGTCGCAATTAACATATTTGTGCAAATTAATGTTCCCATTTATCTCCAAAACGGTTTAACGGATTTAGATACGGTTTTCTGCAAATCGTTTGTAATTCATCGGTGATAGTTTTTAGATAGGTGTTTTTTTTTTTGAGCACTCCCCATGGTAAATGCGAAAGAAAATGCTAAGAGATGCAACATCTCTTCGCAGTGCCAATGAGTCGAGCCGATCGGAAAGGACTCGGTCGTCAACGATTCGAGCCGCTCTGCGCTGGATGCGGTCAAGTGGAAGAAGCTGGCACTGGGGAGCCCCAGCCCAGAGATGGGAACAGTATTCCATGTGAGGCCGAACCTGCGCCTTGTAAAGTTGCAGGCGTTGAGCCGGCATGAAATACTGTCCCGCTCTGCTGAGCACGCCAAGCTTTTTAGAGGCCAATTTGGCCTTCTCTTCCAAGTGACCACGAAACTGCACGCTACTCGATATGTCGACGCCGAGGATTCCGATACTGGCTGAGGCAACAAGGGGAGTACCTTGAAACTGAGGACATACGACAAAGGGGTTCTTTTTAGCGGTAAACGCGCAAACTTGTGTCTTCTGAGGATTAAACTGGACTAGATTTAGTCGCCCCCAATCCGAGACTTTGTCCAGCAAAGACTCGACTTCAGACACAAGTTTGTTCCGGTACTCGGTGACGTTTTCCCGAG